CCCCAAAACCCCAAAACCCCAAAACCCCAATAGTATCAGAAACAGTTGAACCAAATAAAATATAACATTGCTAATCTTGGCACTTTAGGTTTACCTTGAAGGGCCAAATAACAAACTTTAAGTTTTAGATGATAAGTCAGAGGCAACCATATCAATAATAATTTCATTTCCTTGGGCTTCGGCTAGAACATCTTTAAAGTCAAGAAAGTTTTCTCTACCCCTATGATGTGATCTATTGGTGATCCTTAACTGATCCATTTGCCCAAAAATAGCTTCTTGTTTAAGGTATGTTCTCCACTCAGCTCGTATGAGCTTTGAAACAATAAAAGATATTCCAACCAGAATCATTAGGAGTACAACTTTACATACAAAATAGTAGAGGCTTGATCTATCTTCAAACGGCTGGTCAGAGAAGCTAACAATGATATCATCAAACTCAGTTCAGGAGGAAGTATCATTGCCTTCGAACATTGGCATATAATATCGAGCAATTCGTTCTCGGATGCACTTGGATTTATCTACAAAAGCCTGCTTGCCTCTATCATGGGTGATTTTCTTAATAACATTCCACTCCTTCTTAAAATAATGCCAGGATAAATAATCATACCCCAAATATCTTTCAGTTATGACGCCCACAGCAAAGTGCCTGAATTCGTCAAACCCTCCGACCATGACATCAACAAGAGTTATTCAACTCCAGCTTTTACAATAAAAGAAAGTCTTCAAAAACAGTGACCATAAACCTAACAGAGAGTCTTTAGTAAGTGTCAGATTAAAGTGCTGAGCTCCAAACTGAATCGCCTTGAATAAACTCAGAAACTGTAGCATTATGTTATGATTCCTTTCAAGATTGGAGGAGACCAATTCGAAATTAGTATATGGAGAGGATCGAAAATACTTCAATGGCCCACCATATCAATCCACCAAAGAAGCACTAGTCAGGATTAACAAAAGGATAGTCCATATTCTTGCCATTTTTACTAACATAAAATTCAATTTTTAAGCTACCAAACGGGGTTTTGGGGTTTTGGGGTTTTGGGG